GAAAGGAAATAGAGGATAAGCAAGTCATAAAAAATTAGTAACATCACTCTGCACATAGACACTCAAAGGTAAACGAGACTAGAAAATGTAGTTTTGAGCTAATCAGTAACTCTTATGGAATAAGGGACGAATTGGTTATAGAGGGGAAAAACGAGAAGTCTTCTATAGCCCAATGCTGTAGTCATCCACATGTGAGTGAATATCTTTCTTTCTATGAAAAAAAAGTACCTACTTTCTTCCCAACAAAGAATATCTAAGTTTCATTCCAATTATTGCAACCAGCCCAAAATCCAGGACCTCTGGAAAATATGCAGATCTTGACATTAAGTATTGATGTAGTTCTTTACAATTTGGCAACCTGAAAATGATAGATTATCTTTCTTATTCTCAACCTTCTTCCCCATACAAAACACTCAATATTAAGTGGTCAAAGGGAAACAGAATAACTGCAATGGAAGCTATCATGAGAAAAACAGAAGAAAACACATAAGACTCAGTGGGCAATAGCAGTTGCAAAATCCTGCCAAGAGGTAAAGACACCTAGAAACAGCAGTGAAATGTTTTGTTTTGTTTTTTGATAAGGGCATCTGGCAACCTCAGTTCTCCTTTCTGGGAGTCAAGTCAGATATCCTGGAAGGATCTTCTTTATCCCAGTGGATAAATGAACTTATCCATGGCCGTATCTTAATCCTGTAGAGTATGCACTCCTTGGGAACTTTACAATTTTTGCAGCATGCTTTCTTCTGGTGTATGTTTGGAAGCCTAAGGATTGTTCTGGGGATCATATATGGTAGCAAAGTCCAATGGGAAGATGTGAGGACATCTTTGAGCAACATATATTATCTCTTGCTATTGAAATAGAGAAGCAACTAACTTCACTGTACCCTGTTAAGCCTCGAAGTTTTGAACCTTCTATCAATTTAAATTATAGAACTAACACATAAATCAGAAAAAGATAGCCTCTCTTAGTAAAGTTCTATTTACTTTTATATCATCTTATAAAATGACCATTCTTATTTGAACTCATATAATTTGTAAACCTTTCTTAAAAGTAGCAAGGATCACCAATAGTTGGGCTTTGTTCAACATTTTTCTCTAGCAATGTGTATCCAGGTCCATAGCCTGCTTTCCAAGTTGTCACTGGTAATGGTATAACAACGGCCATCAGTTTCCCACCCTAAAGTATTTTTTCTTTGCACCCTCCACCCTCCTACTAAGCTAATACTCTATAGTTTGAGATTTAAATGGTAATTCCACATTTCTACATACTTATTTCTATGTTCATCCACTCTATTGTAACAGAGGCTCAAAATTCAGTGACTCAAATAATATTTTTAAAATGTATTTTTCTCTTAACAATCCCCGAGGCAAGCAGTAGTGTAAAGTAAGACTGCTCCATGTGATCTTTTAGAGGCAGAGGTACCTCCCGTGTTGCAACTCATGACTTCTTAAAGCATTGTCTTTATTTGCCTTGTAGATACTAGATCATCACTTTGAATGCCTTCTACCAACTGAGAAGGTAAAGGTGCACAAGCCCAGGATGAGGAGATTATTCTTAAATGAGAAAGGATGTTGATTTCCACTCCCATCTCTGCACACATCCCATGTGTCCTAACTTAAGTCATGAGGGCACATCTAGCTGAAAGGGTGTATTCACTATGAGTGCAGCCATTTGTCCAAGTAAACATTTATCTGTGGAAGAAATGAGAAGTTCTATTTTAATAATCTAAGGTATAGACTGTGGCAGAGTCCATTTTGATTATTATACATCATTTTCCATTATCTTTCATTATTTTACAAATATCTTGTATGTTCTGTTCTCCCTTGTTTAGAGTTCTGAAAGTTCAAATTCCCTCTTGCTGTGTATGTATCACTTATGATAGACAATAACTGTGCTAACTGTGCTTCCTTATATTCTCTCCCACTGCTGTTCTTTTTCTGTCTCTTATCTTAACAATTAAAATAAAAAGTGAGAAACATATTAATGCCATGCAATGCTGTTAAAGTGCTACTGGTCTTCGCACAGCACACTTTGGGGAACATGATCAGGGGCTTACTCACAGAAAATGTATTGATGATGACAAGGGAAGGAGAAGCTTCCCTCAATGCCAGCATTTTCCTCTATGTTGCTATAAGTGGGACTGCTGGTTGTTAAATTATTTTCTTATGAAGTTCACCTCTTAATCGTTTAAAGAATCAATTTAACAACTCTCAGGAATTTGCTATACCTCTATGAGGACTCTGAGTTGGGTTGCATCATTTCTATCATGTCAAGTATGTGAAAGAAGAGATACGCCTCCAGATTCCAGCCAGTGCCATTAGCCTTCTACAATCTCCAGTCATTAGAAGGATGTAGAGAACACATTACCGTAATTTTTTAGACAGTTTGAATGTAAACATGTTGGGCAGTGAGGGCTGAGCTAGGCAATCATTTTTTCAGCTTCTTTACACTTATATTGAAGTTCATGCATTATAAGTTGCTTCCAAGGAAGATAAGGATGACCAAAGTTTTCTCTGCCCCTCTTTTTATATCTGATATATAGACTTTTCTTTTCTTTTTTTCTTCTCTTTCTTTACTATCAATAAAATCAAAAGTACTTAAAATAATGAGACCTATCGAATTGCTTTGCAGGATAATAATAACCACATTCAGAGAACATCTAATTTTAGGCCCTTCTGTTGTTCCTTCCATCCTAACCCTTTGACATCTATCCCCTACCCTCAGCCCTTATACAATTTGGTTTTTGATATTCAGCCATTGTCTCGATACACTTTTATATACTTAAAATGAATTACTAACCTTGACATAACTTATAAATTAAGATTTATATAGGGGGGCAATTATTGATATCTAACTTTAAACCAAGAAGTGTATTTGAAGGAAAATATAATGTATCATGAATATTTATAGATCCCTCAGTAAGATTAAAAATACATGAATTAGCCCAATAATTAAATTAAATTAATTTTCACTTTTGCATGTTATTCTTTTTAAATCGTGACATGGTTTTATTAGGCTACTCAATTAAATGGTGTCTGGGCTTCCTATGAGCAATTTATTCTATTGTCCTATAAATATTCATTGAGCAGCTGTTATGTGCCAAACATTGTTCTAGAAAATCTGCTTGGAACAACGAGAGGAAATGAATAAATGAGAGACCAATTTTCTATACCAAGAAGTTTATATTCTAGAAGTGGGGAATAGCCAATAAATAAATTAGCAAATGGGTATTTGTGTGTTTGTTTGTATAATATATATGGTGGTGATCAATGAATGCTAAGGTGAGCAAAGCAATGTAGGTGTGGGTGGGCCCTGGTCTAAATATATTGATCAGGGAAACCTCTCATAAGTGACATTTGAGTGAGCTCTGAAAGAATGAGAAAAGGGACAACTGGACATTTAGAAAAAGCATGTTTCGGGTAGGAGAAACAGCGAATGAAAAAGCCCTGAGACAGTAATGTGTTTGTAGTGTTCAGAGAACATCTAGGAGCCCATGTCCCCTGAGTAAGGTGGGTGAACAAGGAGAAAGTGTTAGAGCATGTGGTCTGAGAAATTCTAGAGGGGGGGGGGCAAACGGTGTAGGCAAAATAAGAAGTTTTTATTTTTCTCCTAAAGAATATGGGAAGCTATTTATGAATTTTTGAGTAGAGAGCTAATATGATCTAACTTATTTCCATAAAAATGACTTTGACTACTACGTAGATAATAGCAACAGAGCAATCAGTGCATAGAAACCACTTAGAAGGATAGCATTCTCATTTAAATGAGAGATAGTAATAACTTTAACTCAGTGATAGCTCTGGATATGTTTAGACATGTTCAGATTCCGGATATATTTTGCAATTCGAAGTGAATTTGCTACTAGATAGAACATTAGGAACTAGATGAGACTGCCTAGGGAGTAAGTATGAATAGAAAAGAGAAACATTCAACTGAGCCCTAGTGGTCTCCAAGAATAAGTGATTGGAAAAATGAGAAGGTAACCATAGGGAAGAATGAAGAAATGAAGTGCACTTGAAGACCCATGAAAGAGGAGATCTCAGAAGCAAGTGAAGTGTTTGCAGAATCATGAAATAATCAACCGTGTTAAATGGTGCTAAAGTAAAATGTACACTAAGTCTTGGCCATTGAATGTGAATATGTTAAGATCTTGTCAAGAGCTGTTTCAGTGGAGCAGTGGAATGGCAGCCTGATTGAGCGTCTTCAAATGTCTATGGAGAAGAGTCAGTGAAAAGAGTGAGTAGAGTCACTTCTTTTCAAGAAATGGGATAATTGCTAAAAGGAGTTATGTGGATGAGGGAGAGCTTTTTACGGATAAGAAACACATAAGCTTTGAAATGCTAGTAGGCATCATGCCTTAAAGGGGGAAGTGGATGCAGCAGGAAACAGTGAGGACAATTGTAAAGGGGTAACAGAGTGGGTCGGAGAGAGAGTGTCCTTCGAGTAAGAAATGGAGGAAGAACACCGTTGACAGTTATTGAAATGTGGAAGCATCTAGTAAAATGTCGAGTGAAACAAAATAGCTTATTTATTTGGGGATTGCACAGACATGATGTGAAAGGGATAGAGGGGAGTATAAATATAGTTTAGTGTTTCAATGTGAAAAAAATGATGCATATTTCTTAAGATAACAGCATTAAAAGCCATACATGATTGACCAGATTGTCATCTTAGAGAGCACTTTTTCTTGGAAATAGGCCTTTTATAACTCTCTTCTTGACAGATTTTGAAGTGTTATACTTGTGTTTTAGGGGAAATTTGATTTATCAAATTGGAGGATAGAGATAAAGAAATACTGAGGTGGCATTACAAAACATCATAGCACTCCTTGTCAATAACCTGTGTTTTTCTTACTGAAGATTTATTTAGGATTGTGTTTTATGCCTTGAAGTTCCTGGAATATTACCTCAGCACACATTTTACCTTCAACTTCCATATGAGTTTCTGGGTTGATTTTCCCGGTTACAGTAACATTGATTGCTGTCTAAATTTGTTGCAGTGTGCCTGAATACTATGACTACGGTCATGGAGTAAGTGAGGATGCCTATGACAGCTACGGTAAGACCTTTTCTTTACTAAAACTGTGAAATCGGAACATCCATCAGTCACTGACAACTCGAAAATTATTTCCATCTTTCTCCCCCTAGTTTTTCCAGAAGTTTAGACTAAATTGATTTATGTAATTCCAGAGTGAGATTTGACTTACACAGCTAGTACCAGAAAATTAGACAGATCAATTTTGATCAAATTTTTAAAAGCAATTAATCACAATCATAAATCATTTTCAACAGCAACAGTGATCATTCTGAATAGTGTCTTGTATGTTTAACTGTGTTCATTGTCTACTCATTGATTTGGCAACAATATTGTGTCTTTTCTGCTGTCAAAAGATCATCAGAGTAATACACATTTAAAATATTTACAAACTTTAAGGGCAGAAATTGTTATTATAAAATAACTCTCAGGTTATTTTTCTAGCATGCATAGCCAAATAAGGCTTGGCTCATAAAAATTGATAGTCAATAAGGATGTCAGTCTATAAAATTAATTTATTTAAAAAATATATTCCTTAATTAAAATACCACTTAAAATTAATCATAATTATACTCAGTTAAGATCTATTGAATTCCTATGACATATCAATACAGTACATCATTTTTGAGACGTACTTTGTGATTCTTTAAAATACATATGTACCCGGGCACGGTGGCTCACGCCTGCAATCACAGCACTTTGGGAGGCCGAGGCAGGTGGATCACAAGATCAGGAGAGCAAGACGATCTTGGCCAACATGGTGAAACCTCATCTCTACTAAAAATACAAAACAAATTAGCTGGGTGTTGTGGTGCATGCCTCTCATCCCAGCTACTCGGGAGACTGAGACAGGAAAATAGCTTGAACCAGGGAGTCGGAGGTTGCAGTGAGCCGAGATTGTGCCACCGCACTCCAGCCTGGCAACAGAGCGTGACTCAGTCTCAATAAATAAATAAATAAATAGCATCACTAGCTGCCCACCTTAAAAAATGACACTCATATAAATATTTATAGTCTTGAATTTTTATTAAAATAATAGCAAGGCTGCTTGGCATTGGTGCATGACTATAGTCCTAGCTACTCCAGAGACTGAGGCAGGAGGATTGCTTCAGCCCAAAAGTTTGAAGCTATAATTATGCAATAATCATGCCTGCAAATAGCCACTGCACTCCAATCTAGGCAACAGAGTGAGACCCTGTCTCTAACAAAAATAAATAAATTAAATAATACCATGTTCACTTTATTCCTCTCTATGGGGAAAAATAAAGGAGACAATGGTTGTTGCTGTGTTTGGGGCTTCATATGATGCTGGGAAAGGCAAGTCCTGATATCGAGAGGAAAGGAGGAAGAATATCTTCCTTAAAACCAGTCATAAACTAACACAAGGCCAAGCCCAGAAATAAGAGGAGAAAAATAAGCCACCACCACCAACCAATCATGGGATGATTAGTTACAGATATTTTGTATTTATTTCTTTAAAATAAATTGAAATACTATGACTACGGTCATGGAGTAAGTGAGGGGATAAAGTATCTTTATCCCAATTTTTATGAGGAAACTGAACAACAAAGGTGAAGTCAATATGAGAGTATGGCTGTGAGGCTCAGCTTCTGTTCTTATATTCTCATCAGTGGTTGAAATACTATTAATTGCTGCTACCATACATGAAGTACCTATTATGGCTCTGTACTAAGCATTTTATAATGAGGATTAGCAATTGCAGAAGTAATCCTTATAGACATTATACATCTATCTATTTGTATACTCTAATCCCCATTAGAATCCTCTAGAGAAGGATGAGAAACAGATAAGGCTTTGGGATGCATACTCATATTGTCATCTGCATTTTTCAGGTGAGAAACTAAGACTCAGAGCATTAAGTACCTTGCCTCAGTTCAACAATTTGCCAGTGACAGAACAAGAATGCGAATTCAAGCGTGTCTGATTATTTGGGGGTTTGTCTGTTTGTTGATTTTGTCAGGAGGCGGGAGCAGGGTTCAGTAGACTAGGTAAAAAGAACAGGATGTGGTACTTTAAACCTGAGTTTGTTTAAAGGAAAGTCGTTCAGCTTCCTTCCTAAATCCTAAATCTTCCTTCCTAAGTTTGGAGTTCTCAAAATGCTATCAGTTGCTATTTCACTATTTTAAGGGGAAGGAGATCTTTTATACTATTATTCAGGAAAAAAAGTAAATAATCCAAAATGAGCACCAGGCTCACTCCCAAATCCAAGTTTTTCTAACACTAATCAAATTAACCTAATCTTTTGCTGTAATATAGCTAGAACTCTTTTCCAAAGCAAATTAACACCATTTCAGAAAGTATTTCACAGAAATATACGTGATGAACAAGTCTGCATAGTTCTGACTCTGTTGGAAAGCTGCCGTAGGAAGTACAGCTTTAGTTTTGTTCGTTATATAATTTCCACTCATTGGAAGGAAGGGGTCAAAGGCATCAGATGGTATTTAATAAAAACACTAGCATCCAAATCCTAGGCTGTCTCCAAAGCCACAGCAGGGAACCAGCCAGGCTGAGGTGTAAGATTGCCTAGCATTTTAGAGCTTCCACATCTGCCCCTGCAGCACTCTTGGAGTTCAACACAGCAATACTTATATTTCTATTGTTCCAAGCACATTCTTGATCATATAGGAATCAGGCCACATGCCGTGTACAATTGGTTACTCAGGATGATCAATGAGTAAGACACAAACTGGGCCTTTCTTTAATTCATTGAAAATTTGCATATAGATATTGCTAGTCTCTGAGAATATGATGATATACAAGGTGGACATTGTCCCTCCTTGGTTTCTGATATTTAATGTTGAGAAACTTATACCTACAGATAAAAAACTGCACCAGATTTTAAACCATTTTATGTAATAATTTTATACAAGTTGAGAGAACATTACTCATTTAACAGATATTTATTTAATGGCTAACACATGTAAGCCATTGATCTCAGTCTTGGAGATATTGTAGTGAACAATCTCTTGAAACTTACATTCTGATGAGAAGACATGTTCTTATTTGTAAGTAGTCGTTTCTGGAAAAATCGAACTTTTACTTGCAAAATACAATCATTTTTTACACTTGATACATCAATTTGAGGAAAATCATGCTCATGAGCTTTACAGAATTACATGCACTGAGATCAATGGAAAGGATAAATTTGATGATATCTGGTGATAAGAGATTAGATTTCTATTTCTGAATTATGTACATTTTGAAATGTCAATACTATGTAATGCTATTGGAAAACGTGTGTAAATACAAACTTGCTTCTCAAGCCTGTTAATGGAGATGCAAGGGCTATGGTCTGGAGGGCCAGGGCTCACCTCTATAATCCCAAGTCTTATATTGTACTTTCTTTGTAGTCTGGTTCTCCTGCTGTAGCAAAGTCTAGATAGAAGTGATCCATTTTACTTTAGGATAACTAACTATCCATAAACACTAAATTTCATTCTGGGCCAAATTACCACTTACCAACCAGAAATTTTCTGCACATAGAAAGTAGTCAATAAATTCTTCATAATAAAGTAATAGGGAAAATGTAGAAAGGGATTTGATTGTCTGAACATAATAAGGAAGATATTAATTAGGCAGCAATTTTAACCTAATAATGTGTATTTACCTATTTTACTAACTAAATTTCATTTCTCTTTTTGCATAACCAAAAAATAAAGTACTTACTGTAGATCTATATGGTCCTGAGATTTGAATTTTGAGAATCTTCTTGTAATAATTGTAATAATACAGGCAATAGAGCAAGGACAAAGTAAGAGGACAAGGAATAGTAAGAGCTCAACACTATAACCTTGCAGCCCAATTAAATTAATATGCATTATGTGCACTCAGATTGTGGCATCAGGTATTTTGTAGTATGATATTAGGTATTAGGTAGTTGGTGATAAGTTGCTTATAATAAAACATCCAAATAGGCAGATGATAAAATGTAAATACAGATGATGAGCAGTGATTTGAGGACCCACACAAGTCAAATATTGATTGTTTTTATTAACTGTTCATACTTTATATATTAACTATTATCTATTTATAGCTTATCTCTAATCAATAGTACACAGTCTTTTAAATCAATAATGGCTATTCCAAAATGTAAATCTCATATCTCCAGCTATTCATTTACTTCCGATCTGAATCAGTAACTCCTCTCTGTTACATTGTGGTTGTATCATGGGTACTGATACTAAATTCCAATGGAATGTCTGCATTTTTACAAAACTAGTAGCCTCAATGTTTAGTTTCCTGGCAACCCCCTAGACTTGGAGAGTTATGTGAGGAGTCTCAGAGTCAGCTGTCCCAAGCACCTTCCTTTCCAGCTCACATTGGCAGGAAGAACTGTGAGGTTAAGTGAAGGCACTGGGAGGGGAAGAAGGAATGCTCTCCCGAATGACAGGGTTCTGCATTCCAAAGACTCAGAGATGGAGCTTCTCATTTAGAAATGATGTGAAATAAGCCCACAGAAATAAAAATTCAGTCCTTCAGTGGGACACTTCATTCTGAATCTTCATACATTATGTTTTGTGTATGAAAACTGAAATTGTATTTGTCTCTTTGGGGCCTATATTTTGTCACTGAAATAATAAATATGTTGACTTCCAGAAAATAATGTATTATCTTAGGTCTTATCACAGTTAAATTATTCAGGATATTTGCAGATAATTTAATATTAAGTATTAAACTATCTTGCTCATAATGTAAATATAACATTTAAATATTAAAATCATGAATGAATTTTATTAAAATATAATTATCTTGTTCATTATAAATATTAATGTTTAATGCATTGGTATTTATTAAATATTTAATTGATTTTAAATTGGTTACTATTAACATTTAGATATTACATTTCTGATAACTTGAATTTGTTTTTGGAGCATGAATATTTGACTTACAGGAATTCCATATCAGTTTCTGCATTTTAAAAATGTTTCTTAATTTATCAGAATCACTATGATTGTTTCAGATGCGTCAGAATGGCTAATAATTCATTAAGGCTGCATTTTAAA